TTTGTTTCCCACCGCAGACACCTGCGGTACGGAGTTTTGAAAATATCTGAGCACCATTAAGTAGTCGAATTTTAAAAACTCCTTAAATTGGAAAGTAGCTAACCACTTAATTCATTTTTGCTCTCTAATACGTCGAAATCCGAAGTTTTCTTTGAAAGGGCTTGCAAAGCACTGAAATCATGGAAATCCTTCTATACTCACACTCTGATTGTAGGAAGTGTGCAAGCGAAAGGAATGGGCAAAATGAAATCAGCGCATTGGAAACTGCGATGCCAATGGTTCGCTCGTAATTGACCATGGCCAGCTAAGCCGACATTGACCGCACAGACCTTTCGGAGGTTTCTTTGTTGAAAACAAAAACGGCTTTAGTGGCTGATCGAATAGTTTCGCAGCCGGAGTTTTTCGGCGCCGACCCGACCTCGAAAATCTTGTTCTTGCAATGCCAAACGCCAGCCAACTGCGTTCCATAGCTTAAGAACGCTCTGAACCTTTCAAAAAATCTACCTCGTAAAAAAATCGATGTGATGCCAGCTTATTTTCACTCTTCTACTTCATCCACTTAGAAGTCTGCAATAACGAACAGATTTCATTCACTAACGATCAATTAAAAATGTCCAGGTTTTCTTTAGGATGCTTACACCCACCTAGGTAGTTGTTATAAATGTGCATTCAAATTTCTCTGATGTGAGATGAATCCCCAAAATGGAGCATCTTAGCCTCCCTCCACCAAGCCCCTTACAGGGTTTTATAAATGTCTGCGTCATGAGAAAAAGAAAATAAAATCGAAGCAAAGTAAGCACAAATTGAAAAAGAAGCGAAATGCTGGCTTCTATATAGCAAGAAATTTGTCACCTAATGATGAGATATAAATGGCAAGACTGATAATAAGAATTGCGTTTGAAATCGAGCTAGGATTCGCTTGGCAACGATTTTCGTACTCCTCATTTATTGCCTAGGCATCTTTCTTCTTCTGTTTTAATAAAATGACTTGAGACGCTCAGTATTACTAGCCGTGCTGTACAGCTGAAGAGAAATTTTTACAAATATTTTCCCACCTTTTCGCCGACAACACTAGCTTCTCCAACAGTGGATCAACGATGACATGCAATGGAATTTTTGAAAACGCTTATCGGCTTCAAACAATCAATAACTATTGCTTCAATGAACCAGAGGAGAGACCACGAAGAGTTCAGTGGAGGAATTATTCATTATTCGTCAGCCAGTGCAAAATCTATAAGAAAGGCCCAAACTGAATGCGTTCACAATATTTTTTAACAGGATGGCATAACTGAAACCGAAGGATGGCAACTAGTCGGTTTGCATTTCCAGAATATCGGCAGCGTTCGTTTTGAACAAGTTTTTATTCGTGGTGAAGCTGTTTTTCTAAAGGACGTCCATGAAAGACTTTTCCTCTATAGTGCAACTTAGATACTTTATTTTCAAATTCTCGAAGCAAGTTACAAATACGAAGAAGTATTCGTAGAATAAAGGAGTTTCTCGAGTAACAATTGATCCATTGCTTCTCGCTCACGTTGAAGCTATTAGTAGTTTATTCAGTTGTAAACTGAAGATCTGTACAGACGTGAAGAGCTGACGATGATATATATGATGCGCTCATTGTTACAGTACATCTATGACGTCGAACAGTTCAGGTCTTTCTGGTAATGCAACATTCCCGAATGATTCCGACGAAAGCGCAAAATAGAACATACTGTGGCCAGACGAAGACCAGTTTATTGTAATAGCATCTATGTAAGGTCAACAGTATAGCCGTGGAGGTAAACTGGTTTCGAAAGACCTCGTCACGACTCTCGAAAGAAACCTATCAACGAACACCATTAGAGACTATCGCTCGAGAAAACGATTACACATCGGCAATGCCAAGCAACGAGCCAGATTATCACAAGAACGAGTAAAAAGAAGGCAGTGTTCCTGCTCGAGTCAAATTTGACAAAGTGCTGGTCTCACTGTAATGTCATAGCCGGTATTGCAAAGGAATATGACGTTAAAGAAAAAGTGAACAGTCAGTATGGCAGAAACAAGAAATACCAGAATCAAAAACAACGAAGGGTTAATATGAACCTGATCAGTGACGAATAACACTTGCGGTCGCAGTTGCACTGTAGAAACACTCAACTGGGCTTCACCAGGGAGTATTACGAGAAAATTACCAAGGAAACTTTGCAAAAGCTAAGCTTGATACCAATCCTTAACCACAATGAGCTTTCTCAATAATTTTCAGCGTTCATTGTAACATACAGGAATGAAGTACGTGGCAGTGACAACGCGAATGTTCGTTGATACTGTTCCTCCCTTATCTGGTTATTTTAAAATTCGAGATTGCTGTTCAACATTGACGACGTTCTAGTTGAAGGTGAGCAGGAAAGAGATCCACAATGGATGCTATGATAAACTTCGTGCTGTCATCATGAATTCTTGCACCCACATTAGATTGCTTGTAACTTCAAAATTCTTCTCTTGATCGGAAAACCTCTTTATGGACAGATATTTTCGATTGGCGTTTTTATAATTTGGCATCATACACGACATTCTCCGACTTCCACGTAATGCCTGATTTGTGGCTTAAATCTTCTAACCAACTATCCTGTGCAAACAGCGACGCGGACGGAGTGTTAGCAGTTTTCGACCTGAAATCCGTCAAAATCATCTTGTAAAAGAATTCTCCAAGCAGATCACACCAATCCAATGTGTCTGTTCTACAGCACCAAGTCAGACATCCTATCAGTGAAGAAGCAATCAGTGTAGATTACGACAGATAGGAATAGGTGAACACTTGTTGAGAACGAGAACCAACCTTAAGATACCTCAGTAGCCAGTTCTTTCACAGTCATTCGCAAACCCAGGTAGACAATTGGAGGACTCCAGACAACATTTTGCATCATCTTTGACGTACAATCCAAAAGAAAAGAAAAAATGAAACTTTTTGGTATAAGTGCTTATAGTAAGACAGAAAAACGTGCTATAAAAATAACTGGTAGCGTGGTGAACAAAAACGATTACTCGATGTCAGCACACGTCTATAATGTATTGAGACATACTGCTATAATTGTTCTTCGAATCTTACAGACGAATATAACTGCAGAGAAAGACATCGTTGCACTATTTCTGTTAATAAATACCAGAGAACGGTAACGAAATAGAAAGCAATCAGTTACTCCGAGAACCAGTGGATTCTCTGAGACCAGCGAAATTTGGCACCAGGAATCTAGAAAGACTAGAAAATAAAAACACCACAAAAGAAATAATAAAAAAGTGCTGAAATGCTGCAATGAAAGCGTTTGAAGCTTGTCTACACATGAATTCAGTAGATCAAACATAGAATTAGTTGGAATACTGATGCCAAGAATGATGTGCATTTTCATCACTTCAAGCGTGAAACGGAGTCGAAGTAGACGGATGGATGGCGAAGAAAAGCTGAGCGGTAATGGTTGCATCCAGTGAAAGCTTTGTCGGAGCGCCAACTCTGTGCACGTCAATCCCGATCAGACGACGGCTAAAAAACCCTGAAACGAGCTGTGGCGAACTACGAAAACGAGTTGGACTCGTAGCGTACGTTGGCTGGCTTTCTGCTTTACCAACAATCTGGAAATCTGCTAATCTCAGAAATGGGCTTTCGACATTCTATCTATGGAAGACCAACAGGAAACAGGGGGACTCGCCATGACTTTCACTACTAACATATATAAAAAGTTCTGGAAACCGAAAGATGTGACTTTTCTTTTTTGACATACTACACGCTTCACCACGACGTCTCGGTTTTCTTCAAGGCAGAAAATGTCGTTTCAACTTGCGACTCCATACTGAAATTTCATAGAAGAAACGTGCTAGTCCAAAAATGACCTGATGCATTATATAGCTGAATTCTTAGCCTTCCGAACCGAAAGCCATAGTTGCCAATTGCGGAACATTTTGTGTACATAACGCTGATATCCATAAGGAGGTGGATAGCGCAGTGGTAGTGATGTCCGCCATTATAAGCATGGTACCAGTTCGATTCCGCTTCGGGCCATCCAAGTCTCTCATCCCTCCGGGGTCGGGAAATTGGTACCGGACTTATCCGGGAAAAAATTATTCTCTGCAATCCGGTCGGGAACGCTCCGGCCCGGCTATCTCATGACTCCAGGGAATACAACATGCAGGATAAAATGAAAATCCTCAAGCAGTAACCGAAGCCACACCCAAAAAGTTGGAAGATCTTCGTGGACAATGGATGCGAGGAAACGAATCGAATGCGAGAAGTGCGAGATCAGCACAGTGGACGCGAAGAGGAATCAAATAAAATATAACAAAAATGAAAAACTAGCTGATATCGCCCGTCTGTGAAATTAAGCACGTGTTCTTCAAAAATCTTAGCGAACCTCCGAAAAGATTCTGATGAAAACTGTTGCAGTAAATGATGCAGCGAATGGAATCCACTGGAAATCACGTACAGCGCTCCATTTCTGTCACCATTTCAATCACACAGGATTTTCCTATGACACAGAAAACCGCGGCAAGATTTCATTTTACTATTGTCACTGAATACGTCAACCATTTCGATTAATTCATTGAACACTTCGAATCGCCCATTGCTTATTGTTTCAGACGTCGATCGGCCCATTTGAACGTAGTTCACGGCTATATGATGAAGCGCTGTTTTTTTTTTCCAACACTCTTGCTTCATTTTCTCCCTCTCCTTTTATCTACATTTGTACTTTCCAGCCAAAATTCCTAATCACTTGTTAAATTCGTACCTGCCTCTTTTCGGCCAGCTTTACGTTGGCATCACTACAAGCTCTAAAATTTTCCACTAGTTTTCATTCTTTGAAATATATCAGCAATTATGTATATAGAGGAGCTTGTGGCATCATGTGAGCCTTAACTTTTTTCGCGGAACAGGTATAGTCTGTTTTAGTGGATAGGAGAGTAGAACCAGATCTATAATTTGTAACAGCTGTGCATTACAATAAGCTAAGCTCAATTTTTGCGGAAGCAGGCGTATTTTAGAAAAGTAGTGTCCGACCGGTCCAGGAGGCGGTTTCACTTCGTCAACAGACACTAACAGGACTTGAAACAAGCCGACCGGTCCGCGATTACGACCTGTTCGGGAATAAGCTTACGGAAAGAGAACATCTTTTAAGTTATGCGCCAGTTGCGTTCACATCTCCAAAACCACTGACCATCTGCAAGGCAAGTATCTAAAACAGTAAGAAAGTCAGAGTCTGGAAAACAATGTCTCAGATTTCAACAAGAAATTGTTCTAATTTATTCCCGATGTTATAAGTTGTTCACTAACGCAGTAATAGATTCCTGGATACATAACGATATAGCTGTTTAGCTATTTCTCCCCTAATAATTCATAATCGTACACTCTGGAAGTTCCCTTGAATAATCACATTTCCAGGTGAATACACAAGGCTCCTAATATTTCTGGGAAAATTACCTTTTATCTTTAACTATTTCAAATTAATATGATGAAAAAAGAAATGGGGTTAAAAACGATTAAAGAGCTTAGATTCCTTCAAGAAAACCAGTATGGCAGGCAATAAAAATTAGCTTGGTCTCCACCGTGTTGATTGCTAGTAAATATCTTCTGACAAAGGTGTTCTGCTCTTCTACTTGATATTCTATAAAGCATCGCCCACCTTATTTCAGCGGTAGTCCTATTAATTATCGAGTAACGTGAGCAGGAGACAACTTGCATTCGTTCCCCTCGGACGTTGGAGCTGTTCTTCCTTGAGCATGGTGGAGGTTCATGACGAGAACAACAACTAGATGTTACCCGATGCAGAAGCGGGCATTATGCTGGATATCCAGAACGCCAACTGACCAAACAGCCACTCAAGCAATGGGCCACTTCAATAGCCTGAAACGGAGAAATCAGTGAGCGACCAAGTACGGTATACTAGCCACGCAGGGGGCAACGCCAGGCTTTTCAGTCCATTCGCGCTTTTTACAAGAAGCTGTTGAGAATAGAATGGAAATGGGTGGAAGTTGGTAGCAAGTGAGGCCGACTACTAAATAAAAAGTCACTGTTTTTCAGTCCGCAGAAAGTAGTTCATATGGTTTAGCCGTCACTAACTGATGATCTGTACAAAACTAGGCTTCTTAAATTTTTTTGCAGTTTGAGAAATTATCTACTATTCAGCTCTTAATTAATTGTGGAAGTAGTGAAAGCTCACAATTAAGCAAACCTTTATAGCGTTGCATAAAAATAGTGTTGCTTTCTGAATATGCTTAACTTAAATGTCGTTCATCACAAAGTAAACCTTAAAAAAGTTTGAAATATCGAAGAAATGTTGGATTAAAAAACAAGTAAAACGCGAGGTAACGAAGTGGTTAGCGACGCCGTAGGCAAGGGAGCAAAGATGCAAGTTCGACCCCTCACCTAACACTCTCATCCAATCCAATTAAAAACACCTTAGCATAGGATTCTCCAAGAATGCAAGTGGATCAACTTGATCAGCATTCCATGAGATTTATAAAGAAAACGAAATTCTCAAGCAGCCGCCGAAACAACGCGCGAAATGTCCGAATACCTATGTTGGAAGAGAGGAAAATCAGTCTGATCTAAGAAGTGATGGGAGCCGCACAGTAGATGTGATGACGGGTCACTTAAAATGTAAAATTAAAAAAAATACTGCATCAAACGAAACTCTTCAGTATTGTAAGTACCCGACTACCTTTCCTCTATACATTTGAGGCATCTACACCTCATAAGCCTACTAGTAGCGTGGTGCAATATGTAATTTTGGTAAAATCAAGAAATAACACAGGTACATCAAATGAGCCATGGGAAACGCAATGGTTATGGAAGCTGTATAGTACATGCATAATCACTGCTTCAGTCCATCCCCAGAAAAAGCAAACCCCTCATTGCTTTAGAGTCGCAAAGAAGTGTTTGGAATAGGCTTCTAAAGATCCACAACCAGACTAGTACCTCCGTGGTGAAGACCTGGTTAGAAGTTTATAAAGTATGGAATGATTTCATGAGGAATCAACCCGAGTAGTGGTTAACATTCACGAAGACAAAGCCTTCGCGAAATGGCAAAATGCGAGCTCATATCTTAGACGACCCTGAATCTCGAATGCCGGATAATAAACCGAATGGAAGAATTGGCGCGAATTCGCACAATGTGTAATGTCGGGTCAAGTGAATAAAAATGAAAAATGCCAACTGAAACATTATGAAAATTACTATATTAATGGAAGAAACATGTGGAAAGAAATATTCGAAGAGCACCGAGATCTTCGCATTAATAAAAAGTCTTGGCAGATGTGAGATAAATTGGAGCACGATTGCGATCCCGCATTTGAAACACGATGTTGTGGGTAAGTGGCCTGGAGGAAACCCAGACGTGGCTACGCGTGAGCTTGTTCTGCGACGAAGCGAACGCAAACTGGTAGCGTGACGGGTATGCAAATGCCCATAGGGTGAAACTAGCCGACGACCGGTCTCCGTGCCCTGGCTGGCTCGTTTGATAGCCAAATCCTGGACTGACGCCAGAACGAGTCTGATCTGCATGCTGCTGTGGCTACTGATCCAGTCGATGGATTGTGAACACTTTGATCAGAAACTCTTTACCTACGACAAGTTGATGTCATTCTTCGGTTAAAGGACACAGCGGCAACTCAAAAAAGCCTAACGAATCTGGGAAAAGGTGAATATCATTCATTAAACGTAGAGAAACGGCACGTCGTGGAGCAGAAATTTAGCCTGAAATCGTCTAGAATTCTAATTTTGGAGCGCTGTGGAATGCGATAAAAAAGATGCGTTCAAAAAATTTTAAACACATTCGTCAACGACTATTTATTGACAGGAGTATAAGTGGAGTACTTTGGAATTTGAGAAATCGGAATATGCGCAAAAGATTGCCGATCAAGCTTTTTCCCAATAAATAGATGAATCTAAAAAACGCCATTTTCTTTCAAAACTCTTAAAAGTCAAACGAAAAGCTATTTTAGTAAAATAAAAAACGAATAAATGATTTTTAATATAAGCGCCGTTTGCTTTCAACCAGTCATTCAGGGTCAGCATCGTTCCTGGTTGACAAATCCGCTCGTTCAATCACTGCGAGCAGGGGGCTCACGACTTGACGAGCCTTAGAGGGAAAAACAGTGAACGGTTGGCTCTACAAAATAGAAGTTCCGGAATAAGTAAACTTGTGCGTTGTTGGTAAGGGTGCGTAGATTCTAGCATTTTTTGTTCTAATTGATAAGGTTCACTACTACCTAAGACATTTTTATTTAAAATTATAAAGAAAGATCACTTTTGTTTATTTGTGCATTGAAATCAACTCGTAGTCAAATTATTGACCCCCAATTTATTTGAGGATGCACTCTTGTATTATCATAAGCAGTCGTTTTCGGTTTAGCAAATCGATTAGCATTCAGAAGCACAAGGAAACTCACTTTAAATGTGAAGATAAGAAATAAGAACCCCGGCGAAAAGAACTAATAATATTCTTAAGATGTTACATATGTGACTTCTCAGAGCACATTGTTGACTAACGTCACCTCTAGAGAAACAGCAGTGAACATCACCACATTGGTGATTTTCAAGTCCTATGATTTATATTTTTGTCGCCCTATATGTGTTGAGAATGATTGAACAGTGAAAGCTCTGAAGATATTTTTCTAAAAGTGAGCCTTGAATTAACTGGCACCAGCAGGTGTTTCCAATAGTCATAAAACACCCTGTTGAGAATTTTCTCTTTGGAAAGAGGATAGCATTCGGATGTTCGGAATGCGCCTCTAGCCGGCAGAGATCGCTTTTGAGGTTTTGAAATCTCATTCATTCTTTGCACCTGCCTTGCAGATGGCTTGGGAATGGTTCACATTCGTTATGCAGTGGCTAAAATTGGATCTCTTCCAGTAGAAAGAGAAGGGTGCTATTCTCAAGGGATGATCACACTGATTTATTTATTATCTTAGTAATAGTTTGGATTTCAAAATGGATATCGATGAAGTGATTTGAGGCAGGAAAACATGAAACGGGAAATAAAATATAAAGTAGAATGGTAACTAAGATAAGATTCCAGTTACTTTCAGGTGACGCTAGTGAAAGTAATACAGCACACGAATGCTGAGATATAAGCAAAACTTCGAACCTTAGATGTGCAATGAACTCTCGATCACCCTTATCGAGGCTTACCTGCTAACCGCCACACGAAAGGAGGTCCTTGCTTTAGGCAGCAAACAGAAGTTGAGGCATTGCCATTTTGACTGCAGCTTCATCTTAACTGAGTTCTATGCCGATTTGTGCTCCTCAAATGATTCCCGTTGGCGAGTGATTGCTGGTGGCAGCGTTAGAGTAAAAAATTGGCCAAAAAAATCAAGCAAGGGCCTTGGTTAGTGTGGTGGATAGCATGTGAGTACCCGCAAGGGTATTCTACAGTTCGAAACTAAACTGAGGCTACCAGCTTCGCTCATATCTCAGCATCCCTGTGGTTCTACCTCACATTGTAGCATGCCACGAAAAAAGATCAGGCAACAAATAAAAGTTAAGACCAGTAAAAGTGTTGAACATCTTAATATGTCTTCCAGCTTGTGTTTAATCAGCGGCCATCAATAGCCATCACTGATAGGGCATTATCAGTACTCGAACAGTATGGTCCAAGTTGGTTTAGCTCTCCTCTGTTTCGTCATGGAAATTCAGGTCGGATTTTTTTCAAAAAATTAGAAAAATTATGGTCAAAAATTTAAAATGGCGAACTTTCCTTCCGAAACTCTGGCGAACAAAATGTACTGGTTATGTCATTTAACTTAAAAGTAGAGCTCGCCTTAGCTTACTTTTTGACGATTGAAAGTCTAATGACGAGCGAGAATAGGACCTTAAATAAAACAAATGGCTATTACGTAAAGAAGTCGTTTATATATATATATAAAATATTTTATATTGTAATAATATTATATTATTTGATTATATTATATTATTATATTATATAATATTTTGATGTATCTCATTTCTTATTTTTTTACATATTAATAATATATTTTATAAAATGGAAATGATGAGATATGAAATTGCTCTCTAACAGTGGCATTCTTGTTTAGGTTAAAAAAGGAAATTGTGATAATTTGGAACAATGAAACGGAAATTTTTCTCTACAATCGTTTTTCAGGGAACATGGCTTAATTTGCCTTCCATTGCTCTTCGGATAGCAAACCATTTGTATAACTTTGACCACCAACCGAACGCACTTGAAATAGTTGATGAACTAACGCAAACATCCAAAGCAAGCTCGCCTGATGAGGTGAATTCTGAAGAACTTATTAAATGTTTGAATTAAAACAAAGAATACATGAAACTACTTACCGCCTTTCCAGTAATGTACAAAAAGCTTCTTAGGCTCATCATGTTGACGAAGAAAATTACTATTTATCTCTAACATAAGTTGAAGTAGAACTACATTAATCAGTCTTTTCATAATTATACCCAATTTCGCATGACCGACGCAACAAACCACGCCCAATTTTTGCTTCTTTTACGGATGTGCCACTTTTTCGAAAACAGTCAATAACTCCTCTAGAAAAAGAATAACTATAACTAGAACTAGAACTAGAACTATATAACTAGAAGAATCGAACGTTTGTGAACATGGAAAATTGCAGAGAAGACTTTACTCTATGGGTATGAGTAGCATGCACCCTACTGCTCACTATGCTGTACCATGGTCCATCATTCAAGCTCACTGTCAGCAATTGGAAGTGTTTAGCAATTTATCCTGGACCTATTTCAGCAATTTTCGTGCTTGCACATTCTATACGCTAACAATAATTTATCGTAACTAACACAATGTAAGGGCGCGTCTGCCGCAGTGGTCGGAGGCGCCCTGCAACACGCACGTGGAATCGATTTCTGCGCCCATGGCCCACCGAACCTTCTATCCCTCCGGGGTCGTCAAATTGGTACCAGACATGTCTGGGAGGATAATAGCACTGGCACGATACAACGGTGAGCAGCTGCGAGTTATTGTAAACGCCAGATATGCATTCGAACACCTCCAAAGGACGCTTGACGAAGTCGAACGCATAGCGCATTCCTCAGCGATTGATCAACGCCGAGAGCTTTATCCTTTATTTTTTAACGCGATGTGAATAGTAGTAGTTTTTTATTTCCTTTAATTTTATTCTATTAGCACCTAAATTTCCAGTCGGTGAACTTTTTCGGAAAACGGTATTGTGTGGATTTTCAAGGTACGTAATAGACCTTTTCCCGACTATCGCACTGCTGAAGATCTATATTCGATAAGTTGTCGCGTGACTACTGAAAGTTTGGCAAGAAACTCTGCGACAAAAAAGGCGGCGAAAGCGTGCATATCGAAATCAATATGTGCTGTTCGTAGAGTACCCATTGGAGTCAGCAAACACATGGTCGGAAAGGTTTCAAAATGAAACTCAAGGGAGATTATCCGATTATCTGTCGATTATCTCACACTTTCACGAAGCTGTCAAGAAAGCTGAGTGGTCAGAAGTTATTAGGAGACGCTACACGCACAACTACACAAAAACGTTACGAGTAACGCATTAATTGCACAGCTACTGTTAACCATAGGAAAGTGGAGGCAGCTACACTTTCTCCGCCTCGCTGATGAAGTAGTTTTTACGCAACAACTCAGTGCAAGAAAAATTATGGCTTTGTTTGTGTAAACAGTTTTTGTTTAATATTGAGGAAGCGATATTGGTGAGAAACCGACTGATTCATCAAAATGTCCCGATTGCGTTGAACAGAACGAATCCTGATATTCAGTTATGTAAATCGGGATCGAGAAGGCAGTGTGAGAACTTTTTATAAGCAAGATCAAAATGCCGTCACTGCACTTAAACACTCCTCTTAATGAGTAGTTCGAACGAGTATTCTGTTTCGTCTAGATGAATAATGGAATCCGGAGCTCTCACAAATGATGATCATCGAAACCCAGAGATACTATCACATAAATCAAGTTGTTAAACATTGCAAGGGTCGGGTAAGTTGTTTGTCTTACAGGTAACCATTGCAGAGGAGTTGTCAGCGCCTCAGATAATTTGAAAGGGAACTGAACAAAAGCAAATAAAGTAAGTCTATGGACCCAACGTGAGGCCTTCTTCAGAAAGCACTTGAGTGAAAACTATAAAACTTCAATGATGCTGAGATACTTGCAAAACTCCGGACCGCAAGTGTCTGCGGTGGGGAACGAACGCACTATTGTCCTTTCTGTGGAGTAACGCGTTCACCACCAAACCATGAGGGTCCTTTGTTTCGCCTGTCACTCAGCTAGTTTTATCGATCTCTTCTATCAGTTATCACCCGCCAGCGGGATTGATTTTTTTTGCGGTCCGGAGTTTTGCAAATAACTCAGCATCATTGAAGTCATATTTCGCAATATACCTTGCCATTAAGAAGAGTAGGCAGTAAATAAAACTGTTAAGATTGTAACTATAAAACTGTTTGTGTCTGCCGAGCAAGAGCAGTGCGTAGCGCGACTCTGGCACACGATTGAGTATCAATGGGAACTCTCTTTGTATGACTCCAGTTATTAGATAGTGGGAGCTGATGCATACCAAAAAAAAATTCCAAAAAGGGCTGTGGAATAATGCACGCAAAAATTGCGTTCCTAAAGAAAAGAGAATTTTGCTAGTTGAAGGTTTCACTTATCTAAGAGTACAAAATTAGTGTATTTTTCTCGAACTCTTGAAAAACTCGTAGATTGCTATAAAGGAGTGAATTCAACGATGAACGACCGTGGACGAAAGGTGAAAGAAAAACGTTAATTTTTTCATCTTAAAACCAATCTCCAACATCTTCCCTATGTCAGGCGAAGCCAAAAATGCTGGATGAACTGCGAGAATCCGACAGAGAGATTGTTCTCGTCAGCAACGATGTGGTGGACCTAGAGGTAATGATTTCTAATAATTATCTTCCAATGAACCCTTTTAACGTGTTCTAGACTATTCAGTTTATCTCGTAGGAATTACCTTTCATAAATAGTTTTAGTTCTATAGCTGTTAACTAGAGGCGAATAGTACTGTGGTAGTGATGTCTGTCATCATGAGCATGGTGCTGGCTCGATTCCGCTGATGGTCGACCAAGCCTCTAATTCCCCCTGAGTGGGGAAATTGGCACCGGATTTATCTAAGAGAAAAATCGCTCTTTGTAAGTGGGAACGCTCCAGCCCGGCTATCTCAAGGCTCCAGGGAGAATTATTGCTCGACCAGCATTCCACGACATTAAAGATGAAATTAAAAATCCTCGGGCAGCAACCGAAGCCAAACGTAAAAAGTTAGAAGATCTTCGTAGATAATGGATGCGAAGAAACGGATCGAATCTGAGAAGTGCTGGGACCCATACAGTGGACGTGAGGACGGGTCATATAAAGATAAAAATAAAGAAAAATAGCTGTTAACTGTGTTTCTTTGTTCTCTCTCCAAATATTCACATTTACATCCTTCTAAATTTCATGAACCTTGAGGTTACAAATAATATCTTACCAACAGTATCATACGGAAGGCTTTAATGTCTTCTCAACCTGACATATAAAATTTTTCAAGAAAAAGTCAAGATGGAAAGTTAGACCATATATCTTCTTTTACAGCAAATCATTCTTCACGAAATGAATGGAAGTGTGGTGACAGTAGTTCGACATGACCTCCAAAATCTGAACGAGAAGGTTGGATTAGAACATTACCTATTGATCGTTTTCTACTCTTGTGTCATTTACTTTTTTAAGAATGAACAGAATGACGAGAAACTGGTTAAGCACCACGGTCGTCTCCACCGTTTCGGAGGACTCAAGAAAAGTGGGAAGCTTTTTCAACACAAGTAAGAAAGTACCTCTTTGTTCTACTACCCGTCTCCATCTATCTCAAAGTCCTCGTTGTTCCTGTTTGTTTTCAAGATTACATGGCTCATGCAAAATAATTGTAAGCAAGCCGTAGTGGAGCAGTTTCATCCGTCTGCTTATGATAATTTCACGTAAATCTCTTAAATTATCTTGTACCAAGCACGCGTATCTCGGTCGTTCTGTCTATTTGATCACTATTTTAAAAGCTTCATCGAATACTTGAGCCATACTATGTACTTTTTCGAGTCTGTTATTTCCGCCCTTTCCTGAAGAATCTGGGTTGCATCACGTGTTTCACCAATCCTTCACTTTATCCATGAATTCGGCAGACGTCTGAAAATTTCTCTTCCTTGACCATTTTCGAAACTCGCCCTTCAACGTGTAGCGGCTTTCGAGGCTTCGCTGATGGCACATTTGCTAGCTCGTCGAACACTGACAGAATTTTTTAAAAATTCGGCTTTCATCAAACCTCGGTATGGATAATCAATATCGTTTTGTATTTCTAAGCTTATGTGAGGTATCAGAAAACATTACTGCGACAAACGTTCTAAAGCCTCCCAATCGGCTAACATTGTTGCGCTTAGTGAATATGCGAGAGTGATTTCACTAGCGAAGAGAAGATGGCAGAACTACTGCTTGCAGTAGAATGGCTGATTAGTGGAACTAGTGGATAAAAAAATAAAGGATAAAGCTCTCGGCGTTGGTCAATCCCTGAGGGATGCGCCGTGCATTCGACTTCATTAAGCATCGTTAGAGGTGATTGAATGCATATCTTGCATATTGATGAATGCATATGCATATGGGCTTTACAACGACTCACGGTGGCCTGCCGCTGTGTCGAGCCAGTGCCGCTATCCTCCCAGACAAGTCTGGTAGCAATCTGCCGACCCCGGAGGGATAGAAGGCTCGGTTGGCCATGAGCGCGGGAATCGATTCACGTGTGTTTCGCTGTGGCGCCTCCTCCAACCACTGCGCCACACGCGCTTTTAGCACCGACTTCAATAGTGGATATCCATAGCTTACGAAGGACTTTTCAAAACTTCCACAAGCGTTTTTTTTTCGAAATACTCATAGGATGATGGAAATGGGACATTAGAATGCTCGTTTCACCTTCAGCACCGACTTCAATGAATTTAATTGTTTTGTAGAGCAACCTAATGTGCTCAATCTTGTTGAAACTATGTTTTCTCGCATGACTGCGGTTTTTTCGTTTTTAATAAGCTAATCCCTTAGAAGATGAACCGAGTAAGCAGTTTGCAAACGGGAGACGGCTGGTAGATCAGGCGATAACTCCTTACGTCGTGCAAGCTCATCTGTAATAATGGGGTGCTTCTGGTTTTCTCTACTGGCTCAGAAGGTCAAATTCACAAAGCCACTGTCAGAAGAGGAAAACCGATCCGTTTATGAGGTTTGCCGGTGAAAGCTTCAGATGTTTCGATTTCATCTGGTAGGAGAGAAGTATTCAACGAAGCATTAACGACAAGACACTAGGTAATCAAACATACGAAGTAGCCTATTTTTGTGCTTGCTGAAGCAACTGTTTCGGCTGGATTTCAAAGGACGCCAATTTTAACAACGTAATTTTTAAATCTTGGAGTGCAAATTCTTTCTGAGTCCTATCTAATTCAGCCTCTACTGGTTCTCTTTTCGTGCTGAGATTTCCTTTTGCCGCTCTTTTGTATTGCTTTTCAAGTTCAGAAGTAAATTCAAAGTTTTTATGACTCGATCAGCACCCATGTTTTCTCATCATTTCGAATATAGCGGCGACGACGAAGATGAAAAAGGAAGGTAGTCTCCTTGCGATTAACAAACAGCTGTCCCTCGCAATAATGTCTTAAAAGTGGAGGACGAGGGCGCACATTATTCGTCATCAGCCTACCTTACGAATATTTTAAAACTTTGTTTTTTTAATTGCGCATTTACACTGTTTTCTGAAAGAATCTTACAAAGGAGGCATGTCTGCTTACCAAACGATGCAGCGACTGGTGGTGACGACGATCATCATAGTGACGCATAATCATTCTCTTTATGCCTTTTAATTCTTCTTGATATGCTAAATAGAGTGTTGCATATTTATTTTCATAGAACGAAATACCGCGTTTGGGAGGGAAGCGATGCGTTTAAAGAAGGCCTTCCTAAGGAATGGGACTGGAGAAATGTTAGCGGTATGAACTACTGCAGCCCGACAAGAAATCAGCACATTCCAGTATACTGTGGATCGTGCTGGGTTTTCGGAACTACAGGCAATTTCATGCAACTCCTATAATTCATTTTTTTTCATGAGAGTCAGTGTTTTTAGGAACTTTGAATGATCGATTCAATATTGCACGAAATAATATGTGGCCAATGACTATGATCTCCCCACAGGTGGTCCTTGACAATTTTGCCTTTTTTCACTGGACACTCTCGTTGATCTAAAAAAATGGCTAATTTATTCATCACCAAATGTGAAGAGGAAGAATGAAGATTAATAGGCGCAAAGCCAAGTTAGCTATGCAATTGTCCAACTAGTCTCTGTTTTATAACGACAAGCCACCGTTGTTGTCAATGCGATAATTTCCTAGAGCTCTACGATATTTAGAAAATGTAGTCTACTACATCAACTATCTGAAGTGTAAATTCCTTTCCTTCTTAACTAATACAAACATATTCAGCTACTTTTTTCGGAACCAGAACTGTCTGTAAAAAGACGCATAAAAATTTACATCTAACAGCACTTTGTGCATTTTCTCACATTTTATAATGTTAAGAAGTATTCTCCCAACGGTTTACCAACTCATCGTGGCTGGGAGGTGTTCCTGGGTATCGGGATGTGACGTACAGCGTGGTGATTCATCCCACCAGCACAGTCTCCTAAGCTGAGAAGGAGTCCGGCGTTTCCATTAGTAAGCCTAGGTAATAGTAAGCCAATACCTGGACCCACCACTGCCCTGGTATCAAAGTCGCATGGTGGCAAATCTCTCTGTGGTCCACAAGGGATGCGACTGCCTTGGCGGTGACGACCTGGGGCAGACTTTGCCCAGGCTGACCTCGGAACTCCAGTGAACCACAGTGGCTAAACCAGCAAAACTCCGAAAAATAGAGATTATGTTGAGGCTTACACGACTAGTGAGGACGGGTTATCCAAGTAAGAAACAAGTAACTAAGTAAGCAAGAATTATTTCTGGGTATCGAATTGAAATATATTACAAGTGTTCATACCTTAGACAAGACGACATAATGGGAACGAGTTCGACTTCTTAGAGGAACAAAAAATCTGCTTAAGAGTAGATCACATCTGCTAGAACTAGCTGCCACCTAACTAGGATCTCCTATTCGAATATCAACGACTAAGCAAACATTAGACAAGGTCAACTTATCTCGAAAGAGGACCATCGTGCGCAGAACAAGAACACCTTGATTATTTCCCTGACAGCTTCATTTTCAACTGATTCGAAGGAGTTTGATTTGATGGATGTAAAGCAGATCAGCATATTGTACTTTCCTTTTACGATATTCCAGTGGATTTCCTTATAAATGTGAATTTGGTCCAATTTGAAGCTGTTTCAAAGCTTTACACTTTGGCGTTGTAGTTATTCCTCAAACATCCAGTGTTTCCCTAATTTGTTTATGATTATTCAAGTAAAGAGCTTTTAGACAACGCCTAACAGCTATGTTGAGGGAAAGGTGTGGATTTTTTGTAACTGTGCAAAAACACGATCCTGTTGGTGTGTTATTGATTTTAAACATTTCATCCTGACAGATAACCTATGAAAAGCCAAGCCAGTTTGCTGATGAGGGCTGACGCTGGGTTCTACAGATATTGGGGTCTAATCCCATACACATAGGACTTCGAAAGGGAAGACAATTGGCCACATTGTAATGCGTCATCTCTGCCTGGCATTATAGCAGGTGAACGTGGTCACTAAAGAAGTGTGAATAATTCTCTGCATCGCCGTTCTAGATTCAGTAATTCAGTGATTTCCCTAGAACATCAGAGGGAATCATCTTGGTACTGCAATTGAAGAAATACTTTTCCACCTTCTGTCAACTCAGCCAGTACTGTAGCTGTTCTCTTCTTGAGAATTTCGCTTCTTTGGAGAACTTTGCAAATCAGGCACAAATTCATGATTGCCTTCGATTGCACTTTGTCATCTTGAACGGGAAACCATTTGGGTGTTATTTATAAGATCATTTTGCTCATTAATAGTAACGCTATTCCCATTTCGATCATTCACTCAAATTTGCTTAAGTTTAGAAATACCAAAAAAATGTGAAAAAATGTCGAATAAGCAAGTTATAGGAGATCATCGATTGCAACGGAAAAGGAAATTGCCAGGGAGGCGAAGTCGGACATGTGCTTGAATATGCCAAGACGCATGGATTAGTGGAGGAAGGATGCAATGTTTATCGCGCCACAAATGGATGTAAGCCGTTTCAATCCACCAAAAACTAAAAGCTTTGTATCAATTTTTGTGAAGTTTAGTGACAATTGGACAATGTAGACAATTGCAGACTGTGATCCGTTCCACAGATGTGGAACATGTTGGCCAGAAAGCTGTTTTCCTGTCAAAAACTATACCAGGTACTACATTACGGAGTACGGACCGGTGAGTACTGCTGACACTTCAAGAGCGCTCGCCTGCTACTGTAATATCGTTGGCTAGGTCCTTTCGATGATCACATTGTTTTTGGTGCAACCATAACTCGCCAGACAAGCAGTACCAGTGCAAGACGCTTCACCCAGTGCTTGTTATTATGGTGCATTCTTCGTCTTTAGTGAAACTAAAAGGTCGTGACCACGTTCACAACCCCACAATCGTGAAGTGATTTGTAGGTGGCAGAAGAGCTCTTGGAACTCGGCTAATTTTACATTTTTAACGTAGTACTCTATTAAAGCATACCCATAGTATATTGAAAGTCAAAGGTTGCAAATTTGGAAGATTCTGAGATGCTTTCAATACGTGGAACTTCGGCGAATTAGACGAAATTTTTAGGAAAGTCACAAATGCTTGCAGTATTTGCAATATATAGAAGTGTAAAACCTCCCAACGGTTTACCTCCTCATCGTGGCTGGGTGTTCTTGGGTGTCGGGCTGCGATATACAGTGGGGAGATTCATCCCTCCGGCAGGGTCTCCCAAGCTAAGAAGGAGTTCAGTGTTTCCATCAGCAAGCCTTGCTAAGAGTAAACCAAAACCGAGACCAATACCAGGATCCGCCACCGTCCTGGTATCAAGGTCGCATGGTAGCAAATCTCCCTCTGATCCACAACGGCTGCGACTACATATGGTGGTGACGACCTGGGGGAGACTTTGGCCAGACTGACCCCGGGTTTCCAGTGAGCCACAATGGCTTAACCAACAAATCTCCGAGAATTGGAGATTGTGCTGGGGTCCGCACAACCAGTGAGGACGGGCCATTCAAGTATCAAGTATCAAGTGAGAAGTTTTACCTATTACCCTACTGCTGGTGTTTTGTTCTCAAAAACCTAACCCTAATACCCTACTGCTGGTGTTTTGTTCTCAAAAACAGTTGAATAATTATTAATCGAAAATACATCCTTTGCAGCTCTCTAATATATCAATTTTTTTTGGAAAAAGAAGCAACCCAAAACATTCTCTAGCCCAAATTTCAGCAGAGATGCTGTAGTGCATGATTGAACATATATTCAGCATCTCAACTATTTCCGATGCTTGTATTGCTCTTGCACAGCGGCTGTAGACCTTTGATCAGAACTACTAGGAAAACAGTAATAATTCTTAGTTAAGGTGTCCGGTCGTAATAACATGAAGGCGGAAATCAGAAACGGTGGTCCGATTACCTGCTCTATGGGTTGCACTGCCGAGTTCGATTACAATTACACGGGGGGGATTTATTCACAGAAAAGTTCGTTAGAGGTGAGCATTATTCTTCCGTCATACCAAAGTGCAGCTACGAAACATTCAACCGCGAGCACATAGATCGTCGACAGACATCAATGAGCTTCAAAGACTATTCATTTTTAGTCAAATCATATTGTATCTGTTACTGGATGGGGATTGGACGAAAATGGCGTCGAGTACTGGATTGTGCGTAACAGCTGGGGTGAAGCATGGGTATGTACTCTTTTTTGGCCAAAAGAGCGCATATGCACTGTTTTATCGACACATGTGCTTTTCACTTGAATCGATTGTATCATAAAAGACCCAGTTAAACTGGACAACATAGTACAGCCATTTGTGACAACTTATTAGCATAGGTATAAGAAATGATTGCCCATGAGGATTTTATTCCTATATAGTTCCAATAGAAGCGCGTGTGGTGCAATTGTCGTGGGCGCCTTTCAAGCACACGTGAGATCGGTTTCCGCGCCTATGGCTCACCAAGCCCTCTGTCCCTCCAAAGTCGGCAAATTGGTACCAGATTTGTATGGAAGGATGGCGGCACTAGCTCGACACATTGGTAGGCCACCGCGAGTGATTGTAAAGGCCAGATATGCATTCAGTCACCTCCAAACGATGCGTAATGAAGTGGAATGCATGGCGCACATCCCAGGGTTCTATCAACGCCGAGAACTTTATCGTTTATTCTTTACAGTTCCAATGTATAACTGCATTGGTGGCGTGAGGAATGGAATGGTTAAAGTAGTAAAAATGTACCAATAGTTTGTTTTATTAACTTTTGATCTTTGCAACCAGCTTTCTGACCCACTTTTCTTGATTTCTTTGTGGGCTAGGAATGGCTATTTGTAAACTTAAAAGCGCTGTATAGTTTCTTCTTTGATAAGGTAACACGAGGTTAATAAAAATGTTAAGTTCTATATCTTTTATGCCTTTTTTTGATAAATACTTCAGGGAGAAAAAGGCTGGTTTCGAGTGGTGACTTCCGCATACAAGAACGATACAGGTAAAGACTACAATATGGGTATTGAGAAAGAATGCTACTACGCTGATGTCGATGTCAGTACTATGGACATTTCAATCTAAGGAACTGCTTATAAGCTGGCTGGAAAATGGAGCTACGAGAACATCATCGAATCCTCTTCATAGTCCTTCTTGGCTTGTATAATACATATAAAGGATGTGATTTGATACTGTTGCTGAATAAATTTCTCTGTTAACACTGTAATCCTAGTTTAAATAACTCCTCTTCCACACAAAAACAGAAGTGGGTGGATATCTATCATAGAGCCGAGCGACCAAATGCCTGAAGATGAAGTAAGCGAAAAAATAACGAAATACCAACAATAAAGTTTTCGGTGTCCCAAGAAGTACTCCATGCATTCAACTTTGTTCGTCATCACAGAAATGATTCAGTGCATCACCTGTATCACCTGTTGAACCACTGATCGTCGAGTGACTCGAGTGGACGCCAGTAAATGTTCCGTTTCACTCTGTCGCGTGTTAGAATAACCTAGAGAGTTCCGCTAACTCTAGGGTCTCACTGGGCGTCACATCTTCATTTTATCGCATTCGTGATGAACCGTGAGAGAGAATCGGATTGGTGGTCTTCCTTGCTATGTGCTTGACATCCCGAAGAATCCGCTCGCTAATGACTTTTGTCCATCGGTTGTCTTTCATGCGCATTATATTTGCGACTAACACTTTTTTCAAACACTTGGTTTGTAAAGCGGCGCTTTCGATTTTTAGTCGTCAACACAGGTCGTAGCTTCGGATCCCATCCCTCACTTCTGTGGATACTCCTAGTATTGTCTATTCGACTGTGTGTCCAATATTGCTGAGTTATCCTTCATGCTGCTCAAACGGCGACCAGGTCTGGAAAATCCCGAGAAATTCGCTCCGTTTAGCGTGAATGGGGCCTACGAAACCAATCCGCTCTTCATGAATGAACATTATTTTGCAAGATTTAGCCGAAAACCAATTCTTCCCTAAGCGCTATTGAAGTTGGCTAGCAGTTACCCCGCCGAGATAATGCTTGGCGCAAATAATAAATATTTTTTCTCATATTTGTCTTAAATAAAGATTTGATGTCGTCTACTGATGCGCTAAGTCAGTGGTGCCATTCTCACGCAAAAATCTGGTACCAGCTTGCCGAACGCGGGAAAAATGAATGTTAAGCTTAGCCTGGGTGTGGTATCAAAGCGACGATAACATGTGTTGGCAGGAAACCCCCAACTTCTGCACTACTCGCGCCTCTCTAGACGTAGTTATATGTGAACAGTCATCCCTTATTCGACAAGTTTGTTCGATTGGGTAATGGGTCCTCTGTCAATAGCCGTCGAATAACCACAGCTATTTAATTTAACCACTTCATCAGCCTGTTAATAAGCCTGACCTCTCCAGCGAGGGAACCGACTTATGGTACACCACAAAAATGAGTAGAAATTTGGAAGCTAGGCTAAATCTATACAATGCTCTCAGGATCATTAAGTGTGAGCAATATAGGTGTCTATTTCAAACTTTCATAAGCTTGTATATTTACAATTTTAACTCATTATTTACTGCATACTCTTTTTAATGGCAGGGTATATATTGCGAAATACAACTTCAATGATGCTGAGGTATTTGTAAAACTCCGGACCGCAGCTGTCTGCGGTGGGGAACGAACGCGTTATTGTCCTTTGCGGGAAGTAGCGCGTTCACCACCACACCATGCGTGTCCTTCCTTTCGCCTGTACCTCAGCCATTAAAAAGAGTAGGCAGTAAATAATAAGTTAAAATTGTGATTATAGCTAGAGCCTCAGCTTAACTGAGTTTGTTGCCGATTTGGGCTCCCCACATTAATCCCGCTAACGGGTGATTGCTGATGGCAAAAGATCTATAGAACTAGCTGAGATAGTTGATAATAACTTGTATAGTTAATTGGCCTGACAATTACAGAAAAATACGGATAGAAATACGAGAAAGTTCTGGAACCACACACAGAAGTTGCAGAAGTTCATTGAAAGAATCGAGCAGAAAACAGCTGGCAATTGCATCAATAAAACTGCAGCTGATAATGTAGAATTTCTACGAAACTAATCAAGCTTAGTAATTGGCATAGTCGGTGAATTCGATTGAGCATAACTAACCATCACTGTAAGTAAATTACACGAACCTATCAAAATATTCTCCATGTAATGTATCACTTTTGTCTACTACCTATTATTTTTCCCGACAGGCTACTACGCGAAGCACAATGTATTTCTCTGAAAAATGATGACTGGCTGAGAGATCGGTAGGAAGAGGGCGTCAGTGGTGCCGTGAGTAACACGTAAGTCCGTAGAAAGGATAATTGCGGTTCGATCTGGCCTGCGATCCAAGTTTTGCAAATATCTCAGCATTATCGTGGTTGCTCCCCTTTTATGGTTATGGTTAGACTGGGCCATCAAACGAAAGCGGTTTAGTGGTATCTGGTGCCATGGTATGGAAGCAACGCTATAACTGTTATTTAGATGAGTAGGGGAATACCTACCTCGAATATTAACATATTAACACTTTAAGATTAACAAGAGATTGGTACTCAAACTTTTATTCAGCAAGTGGTTCGACTTCTTCATTTTCTCCAGGGCCGCGTTAATCTGAGTTGGTGGTCCAGAGGTTGTTGATATCGCGATGTAGTGGTTTGCTGTCGTATCAAGTTAAAGCTAGTCAAATGGAGCCCCGCTCGAATGAGGAATCTTTTAAGATATCTGTGGGGAGATTGTGCAATATGTGCCTTAGATTGATTGAAAGTAGTCGGAAAAGTTTTAAGTGGAAGCTCGCCCAATACATTACTCTGACGTGAGTCGATCGACGGAATGAGGACGACGTAACAAACCATATACTATCCATATCATATACTAATCTCCTTAAGCCCAAAATTATTTGTGCGATAAAATGAATTTTTATTGTGAATTTCTTAGCATTCCAACAAGCAGGGTTATCGATAGAAAAACCTCTTCTTTCGATTCCTTTCGGTTCCCGAGCATCAAAATCCAACCCACACTCTGAAATCACGGCATTCCGGCAGACGATTTCAACGACAACAGTTGGTAATCCTGGTGGGAACTATGAGAATGATTGTTCGGTGGCGATGAGAACGTAATAAATATAATACGGTCCGTCATTCCTTCCCGATTTATGAGCAGTTCTTGAGTAAAACCACAAGGACACTTCCACACCTCATAACAGAAACAGTGTCCAAATCCGTTTCTTATAAATGCTGTGCAAGGCGAATTATGCGAGAATAATGAAGTGTTTCGAGTACTGTTACGTGCAATAGTTCTTACACAGTAATAATCGAAGAGAATGTGTCAGAACGATTTCCACAAATGTTCCAAACTTCGTAACAAGTGATTCCCTTGGCACAGCCGTTTTAGTGACAGATTCCTAATTTCCAATATTGCACTCACGCTTTCCAGTGGTATTATTGAATTTTATGAGATGTGATAATGATTCATAAAAACAACTGGATGTTAAGTTTTTTAACAAACTCGTATTAGATAACACCTTTTCTCAAAAAACGAATTAGGAAGCTTCAGCAAATCTCTGAAGCTTTTTCGTCCCACCCACGCTTACGTAGCTATCGTTTAAATTTACATAGAAAGTATGTTTCCTGTTATTCCATTATAGCAAGGACGCGGAGATATGAGCAAATCTTGGAGCCTTAGTTGGATCTCAAAGCTGTGATCAACCTTTCTGGGGGTTCACAAGCTATCCACCATACCAACCGAGGTCCTTGCTTCACCTCCCTCATCCAGTTTTTTACTCCAACGATGCTGTTAGCAATCAACCGCCATCGGAGACGATCTATTGAGCACAAATCACCATTTGACCCACTTGAGCTGGAGCCGTAGTCGAAATCACAATGTCAGCTTTTTTTGCTGACTATTCTTTAAGAAATTCTGTTTTCGTTAAGAAATAGGCTATGACATAGTCAAAGCATGAGATAATGCGTTTCTATTGAAGAGGTCTTATCAAGTGAGGACCATAACCAGTTGTTGTATACAACGAGGTTCATGCGACGAATTCAACTCTTTCAACGACATTGTGTAAATCAGTTATTGATTTCCTCCCTCATCTTTGAAAGAAGCTTTCTGAGACAATGTTGCTCACAGCCTTAAACCCAATTATTCTACAGTGCTTCTTTTCGAGATCAATCCCTTCAAAGTTCCTACTACGATGGCCTTAACTATTTGTCACCAAAATTTACTGCGTATGCTTCTAGTTCTGTGTGAGTGGGTTGGAATTCGTTTGTATTGATCCTTATTGATTTTGGTGCACCCTTTTCATCATTATAGTGCTTCTAATTTGTTCTTCACAATCCATTTTGGGTTCAACAAAGAGACTGAGATAAGCCTGAACATGTCCTGATAACAGTCACACATGTGGCAACATCACATTAAAAGTTGGATTTCACAATGGAATTTCCCATGGAGGTGGCTTAACAGTGATGATTTCGGAGAAGAGAAAGGTTTTGAATAACGATCTGCATTCGTGGACAGAACTTAAGGACGTTTCCTAAACCCAATGGCAATGTAATGTCAATCGGGTGGTGATAGAGTATATCCTTAGGGACTGAACCTTACGGTGGCTTAATGCTGCATTCGTTCCTTTACTGGAAAAGAGGAATTCCGGAACAGCTTTTTCAGATCTCAGAATCTCACTCGTGCACAATCTTGTTCTTGAAATACCATTTCATTATAGCATTTTCAAAGTAAAGTAGCCATGATGGAGAAAGTGTCTCCTCTTTCTCTAAGTTGTTGTTGAATAAGTAGTAGACTATATTAACCAGGTAGGGGACAGAAACATATATTTGGTGAATATGAAGCATTTTTAAAAATATTTAGCATCTGTTAAATCGAAGTTGACAGCGAGGAAAGATTCAGATCTGGAAGACATCCTGATAAGGCAACGAGCAGTTCCAACGTTCACAGTGAATGAGAGTCAACATCGAGAGTAATGTCAGAGAATCTTGATATCATAGTGGAAGTTCCCTGGTTGATACGTTTTCTGGGTTCGAGCCGGCACTCTGTCCTTTCTGATATCTCTCGGAAAACCTCTCC